ATCTTGGCTGCTTAGATGATGCTCATCAGAGAACGATTTTCCGACTTGAGCGTTCGGATCATCAGCATGCACCACAGTATTCATACTGTTTCTGTAACAAAGGAGATCGTTAAATTAATGATAGAAATCATTTTTCACCGAATCAGGGCTGCAGTTTGTGGCGGCAGAAGTCGCGATGACAGACAGGAACCGTTTGTTCCCTTCGCGGTTTCGAAGCGTGGAACGAACCAGCTAATCTAACGGCGCACATCCGACTGTTGACTGAGATCCAGTCGATCAGGGCAACTTCATCCCGTGGACTCAAACCAAGGCCGATGTCATCTTGCCCAGCATTTGAAGCTGCATCATCGCCAGACAGGCGCAGTGCGAATGTGCTGCCATTGTCGCATGTGGGGGATCTCAGAGTAAGCACGGAGCTCGAATCTTGCAGGCAAGTTTCTGATAAACAGCAAATATCGATCGAGAGAGTCTCGAGTCTTGGCCAATCTGTAGCAAAGTGCGCATGTTGAGGCATGCCAGTCATAGCGAGGATCGAAGACCCCAAGGGAAACGGATAAACTGACATTGTCCGCTTGGTTGAACATGGACTTGTCGACTGGACTGGAGCGACACCTTACGATTGTGTGTGAGTTGCAACTAGAAGACAAGCGACTATTGTAACAAGGTGGTGGAGGGTCAAGAATTGGGGGATTGAAACCGGGGGGTGTATAAAAGAGAAGTTGGAGCGGGACGCTAATGATGAAACAGCGCGAGAAGGGGAATGAGAAGACGGGAAGGCCTGAGCAGTAGCATCCAAACCCCCATCCACCCTGCTCGATGCAGCATATAGGGTGCCGTTGATTATCCTCTGCGACGGCCAGCGCATCAATAGATTAGTAGGAGGAAAAGTCATGATATAGTATTGCATGGGCAGGATACTGTCAGGTTGCCCAAGCCTAGACAGGAGAATGATTAAGGTTTTCAACCAAATCCCTTGGTTTCAAAACCTTACTGCAATGCAGCGGGGTTTTGGCATTGGACTACAGACAACCCGTTTTATGGTGTAAGGAGCCACCCTCACTCCAACCCCCAACCCGAAGAGCCAGGAGACTGAGTTCCATCTGGCCTTTAACCATTGACCAATCTGATATGAGTGGCTCTGAAGGTTCAAAAAACATCACCCAGCATAGCTCAATGGATCACTGAGGCTCACAAACCATTGCACCACGTTAAGATCCAGTCTTTCCGCGATGGTAAATTTTTTATACCAACCATGTAGTACGCAGCTGGAATAAATTATCTTCTGTTGCAGCCTTCAAAATTGGCCTAGATGAGTGTTAGTCGTATCATTTTCCAGAACTAGTGTAATTTTATTCATGTTTTGCATCGAAACCTCGTGTTGTGATGTTTGTTGATCCATAAACATGAAAAAATTACTCTCGCCCTTGCTTCATTTCTTTTTGCGGAAGCACATACATACAAGGAAGCAAGGAGAGGCGATCAAGCGTCGAAGTGCCATGGGATCTGGTTCGCTTATCGGTACAAAAAGCAGGACGCTCGTTAGGCGGAGGCTTTTGTCGTCCTTGTATTTTCACCTCACCCGTCGTGCGTGTTTTCGCCATCCATCCAAACGTGGTGGAAATGCCCCTTATTCCTTAGATGTTATGATCACTAAGCATCGTCGATTGTCAGCCCTAATCTTAGAGGCTTTTATAGGAAAAAGCGACCACTTTATTCTTTCCATCTCTATTAAGTTGCAGAAACTAACAGCTAAACCCCCTTCGACACGGAATCTTAGCCGGATATGTACCACGCTTTTGAAAGATAGAGCCATGCACATTACTTGGGTTCATGAACAGTGAAAGGCAACTCTGGAACAGAAGTGGCATGTACTCAAAATCGGTTTTGCGCAGTTGCTAGAGGAGTTTGCTCATTTGCGCAGAATGCGCCACTCGAGCAAGCTTCGTTACTGACACCGAAGAATTGTTAGAGCGTGCAAACGGCGAAAGGTCCTTCAGAAAGGATTCCTTGATTCCGGTGGATTCTGTAGACGGTTGAGCTACAATAACTGTCGGAACCTGGTCATCAACTTACGGAGGCAAGCCAAATACTCGTACGAGCTTACGTTGGCACAAAGTGTAATGATGAATTCCATGAACTACTACTACAGCTACATGCGGCCGGAGTTCTTCTTGAGTGAAGTAGTTGACAATTTAATTACGCAGGATGGACTTTGGGTTGCTGTGCGTTTTCCAGAAAGTTCGTTGGGCGGACATCGGGTATTTAATCCCTTCGCGGTCACAATGCGTAGGCGAGTGAAAAGCGGGGAAATCCCTTTGACTTCATCGGTTGTTCTCTATGTCCTGGAAAACCTAAACCCATGCCCCTATATCGAGCATCCAGCTAATGTTAAGCCAATTTCTGATTTTTTCCAGCTTCCGGTTCTTGAATCGGGCAACATGTCTCATCGCGACTGAATGATGCTGTAGGATTGAAAAGAGGTAGTTGTAGTGGCGATCCATAATGTCGGTTCTAAATCCTCGCCAAATAAGTACCCGTCTGTTATTCTACCTAGCATACTTCCGAAATATCTGCAAAATCTAATTATATATTGAATCTGTGAACATCTGACCACCTACAGCTTGATCGGAGCGAAACAGCTCGGCTTTGTCAGGAAAAAGTCATGCTTTACCAAGATGCTGTTTCCTGAATGAGATATCTTGGTGTCTCGATGAAGCCATTCCGTAGAACTATGTTATCTTGGCTACAGTAGAGCCATTGCCTCGTTTAATCACCCCTTCCTTCTAGAAAAGTTGACCTGGCTTCGACCCACCCTCAGCTGCTTTCTTGGCTGTTCGCGTTCTTTTACGTTAGAGCATTTCGTGTTTAGGCTGGTAATGTTACGGCTCATAGTGGAGTCTCCCAGGTTTCATTGCTCGGTCAGTTGCTTTTTCTCATGCTTCTAACTAACTTGGTCCCTCAAATTGAGGACCCCATCAAAATTTTTCTGATGGTTTCAAGCTTGTTAGCAAGGGCGACAGGGCTACGCTATCTAAAGATTTGGCTTCTCTTATTAGCGCTCGTGCTCCTGGGATTTGTCCTTGAACGCCAGCACATGCCAAATGTTGACTACGGGTGATAAAGATGTTGTACTGCCCGTACCTGTTGGGTTCCTGACACTGCAACGTGCTACCGAAACACGCGATCTTGGTACACTCGTGACGAACAATTTCAAGTCCGTCGGCGCAATATAAGCATGTTGTTAGCAAAACACGACAGGAGGGTTCTGAGTTGTACCAAGCTAGAGATCTTTCTTCCCTTTGTATAAAACTGTAATCAGAACGCATTTGGGAAACTCTATCCAAGCCCGGGCACTCTACCTGCGGGACATCAATGCATTGAGCATATGCATAAACTGACCACTCGAATGGTAGACCAGCGTGGGTTAGTTTATGAAGATCGGTTAGCTAACAGGATTGTTCTCAATGAGCAGACGCTGATTGCGATAAGACTTAATAAGAACATTCAAAATCACGGTGAATCTCCGTTGTGTCAGGCCAACTGGTCTCTTTGAACTAGCTTATATCCGACCACTTTTGGGCCATTGTTTGAAATTAAGACAGTATGAATCTATACTTAACTTAAGAGCTAAGTTCTTCGTAAATTGGGTTGCGCATAGCTGCGGTAAACCTCCCTCTGCATTGTTGGAGTGTAAAACAGAGGAATTCGTGATATCTGGAAAATGTTTGTTGGCCCTGTTCCTCGAGATTCTTCGAGAGTTAATGGCAGCAAATTCATGAAATTGTTGTACTTGTTTTGTTCTTTCCGCTGTCGGCCAGTGGCCGAGTGGTCTGCAGTTTGCTTTGCAACCATAAGGTCACCGGTTTGAATCCGCGTAGAGGTGGGCGTCCTCGCGGTATGCGCAGCCCGCGCGCGACTGGTGGTGGTCGCGCGGCAGCGAAGCGCCGTTACGACGTACAGCTGACATTATTTATTATTTATTATTCTCTATTATCGTGGGAAGAACTAACTATCGTCGTAGTGCTACGAGCTCTGTTTCGCTTACTGACACACTAAACTGGACGGTCATTAGGCGAAAGCTTGTTTCCCCCTCCCCCTAGGTTCTGTTCCGAGGCTTGGTCCTCCATCGGCAGCTGTGACAACACCGTCCAGCTTGTCATGAAGTCAGGCGCACCCTCCATCCAGCTCCGACTCTCACTAGGTGGTCGAGACTGTCCAGCCGCCTACGGTGTATCTATTTTGCCTTTCACACCCCCGGTTTATTGCGACCCATTTACGACCCGGACATGGAGGCTCTCGGGACCCTCGACCGCATGCATATTTGGTGATCCTGCCAACTTATACCGACTGTCTCTGAAACAGACCTGCGGCCGTCGCAGCGATCCCTAATATACCCTCCAGCGGAATTGTCTAAGCCTATCACAGCGCTCATCAGTCTTTCTGTGCATCAGCAGGTTGACACTTGTCAGGGCTTCTGTAATCGCTGAGGACAGCGCCTCATAATAGACGGGATAATGTGTCGTGTCAGTGTCTTTGTTGCAAGCCAGCTGGTAAGATGTCGTCAAGCTTAGTTTAGAATGCCACTGTCATTTCCTCTTCTCTTTGGCTTCCTAGTTCGTCTTCGGTGTCATTAGGGCAACCATCTCTCGTGCGTATTTTTACCACCCATCCTGCCCGTGGCTGTAAGGATCACACACCCACTTTATAATCCGAGGGCGCGAGTTCGGGTCTGAGTAGGGACCCGGGTTACCCTCATAGTATCCTTAGCCCACGTGCGACTTGCGATTGTTGCGCTTCAACGAAGCGTTGGTACTGCGTACCGGCGTATTGCTGCTGCTTATCTTCACATGAGGCTCGGTCCTCCATCAGCAGTTGTGACAACACCGTCTAGCTCTCTACGAGGTGTAAGTCAGGAACACCCTCTATCCAAACCCGACTCTCTTTAGGTGGTCGTGTTGTAACTGTCCAACAGCCTGCGGTGTATCTATTTTGTCTTTCAGACTCCCCGGTCTATCACGACCCACGTACGTCCCGGACACGGAAGCCCTCGGAATTCTCGATCGGACGCATTCTATAGCGTTTTTTAGGTCATCAACAAACTTCACTGCATGGTCTCTGTGGGTGCATGTCTTCTGGAGTCGTCCTGTGCATTGTTCCTGCTTCAACGTCCCAGTTCTGAAAGAATTGTCAGCAGTTGGTGATGACTTGTGTTCCTATCCTCAACAGAGGCAAGCGGTACAGATTCGAGGCTGTTGTTAAGCTTCACAGCCTTGTTTCTGTGCCCTACGTGAACGCGGTTACTTTTGCCAAACTTCGGCTGTTAAACACGCGGAATTCTAGCCAGTATTCTCCCAGGTTTGTTCTGTGGTTCTTACTATTCCCATGTCTAGATCCGAAGTTTGTAATCACACTGTAACATGGAACTCTGAGCACCGATTTATTTGTAAATTCCACGGACGTATGGATACCACAACTCTGGAGCCGCATATATTGAAAATCTCCATCCGTATGGTATGTAGCTCGTCTCTTTCCCATTCAGCGGGGTGGTGATCATCGTGCTTGATCATGTTTAATGCGTTTTATTTATCTCGTTTTTAATCTGCACTGAGAAACTGTTAGTGTGTGGAGAACTACTGACTACTACTGTTGTTTGGCAGTAGGACGTGTCATGGTTCCCCTCATTCTAGTTGGATGGCATTCAAGATCAACTACCGCAATTGCATTCAAATTGGTAGCTCTACTGGATTTTTTAGAGTAACTACTCTTGGACGACAGTGCTTCGAGGAACGGGTTTAATTGCTTCCCGGTTAGGTGCACCGACTCTGTAATCAACGAGTTCCAGCCTACTAGATCTATGTAACAGGCAAACACATGGCACATGTTAAGAAAATACTTTCCCATTTTTATTGTTAGCTATAACCTATGTAGTTTTCGTTTCCTCATGGACCACATACTCCTTGTTTTTACCATCTGTTACGGTTTATTTAGCTATTTCTCATCCTATACCACATCATCCATGGTCACCCCTTCTGTGCCTACTGGAAAATAAGTGGCAGGTAAGCAAAACAAGACGTTTACACAAGCAAGCTCTCCTCTTGCGTATACCAACCCCTCAGTTTATTTCCATGCACTCCGGCGTGAATGTTCTGCACCTAGTTTCTTCTAGGTGTTTCGTCATCCGCCCCCTATCGTCGCATTCTGGCGCCTGCTACCATTTCGCACCGGTGTCTCATGCAGTTAACCATAGCTTTTAATCGACATTTCACCTGCGAATAGAATTCACTGATCTGCATCTGAGGTTGGAACTGGTTCAGTTTGCTTTGTTATAGCCCATTTCTCTATCCAGCACGAACGACAAAGAAGTGGATTATCGGACACAATCTTTGCGGAATTTCTGCGCGTTCCGTTTAGGTGTAGCGCTCTTGCAAACTGATAGATGAACACTGATTCATGAGTGTTGTGCGGTCTTTTCCAGACAATGTACTGTCTGCAAACCGACTGCCAACTAACCCTATGAAAGAAAAGAAATAAAGACACCAACGGTACGCCGACGCTTCGCTACCACACGACCACCACTCGTTGCACGTGGCCTGGGTATGCCGCGAGATCGGTCGCAACTAGCTGGATTAGGATCGATGATTTCCGGCTTACACAACAGGCGTGTAATCAAATCGACCATTCGCCTATGAGCCTTTGATGCAATCGCACCTCATTTTCCTTAAAGTCCGGATAAGGCCAAAATTATCTCCATTGCTAACCCTGTAGTTGGTCGATACCTTATAGTGGACTTCAGCGCATTAAATCTTAACAACTTTGAAATGACATTGAGGGTCTCCTTGGAGCGAATCGAGTATAGTGGCAAAATCCAAGAAGGGCAGTAGCACAGACTGTTCTAACCACAGGGGTATTAGCCTAACGCCAGTTGTGACAAAATTACTGGTCTCTATTCTCGTTCGTCGCTTCAGTGTGGAACTGGAATCTCGGATTAGGGAAGAGCAGGCCGGTTTCCGCTGAGGACGTGGCTGTATAGACCATATATTCACTTTGCGGCAGGTGCTAGAGCAGCGCCACGCATACCGCAGACCGACAATAGCTGTGTTCCTCGATTTCAAGAGTGCGTTCGATTCAGTCGATCGATGCATTCTGTACGAAATACTTGCGCGGAAAGGTGTTCCCGTGAAATATGTGAACATTTTTCATGCTCTATACTCAAACACTACAGGCCGCGTCAGGGTCTACGGTGACCTGTCGGATAGCTTTCCGACCACAAGTGGCGTTCGTCAGGGTTGTCCGATTTCCCCATTTTTGTTCAATTTCGTCGTGGATTCTCTCATGGAGTGTTCCCTTTCTGAATCTCACGATGTAGGCGTTGAGGTCCTGCCTGGTGAAAGGTTAATGGATCTTGATTAATTGGACGATATCGTCTTGCTTTTTGACGATGTTGCGGTGACAATGAACCCTGAATAGCTTGTGTAGAGTGGTCCTATTATTTGATATGGGCTTCGTACCAAAGTACAATGTGTTGCTGCAGGATCACCAGCCACTTGATAACCCCTTCATCCTTGATAACGAGGAGCTCTAGGTGGTTGATCAATTCACACCTTGGCAGCTGCATCAGCAACGATGGGCGCATAGAAACTGAAGTCAGCTCTCGCACTGCAAAGGCTAGAACTGCCTTCTTGAACCTGCGGCATTTTTGGCGACAGAAGGGAGTTTCCCTCCGTTAGAAAGGCCGTGTATACAAGGCCACAGTGAGGGTCATCCTGCTCTGTGGTAGTGAAACTTGGCTCCTTTGGTCAGAAGATCTGAGGCGCCTACAAGTCTTTGATCATCGTTGTCTGCGAAGCATTGTTGGTGTCGGATGGCACCAGCGTGTCCGCAACGGTGATGTGCATAAGCGAGTGCTAGGTAGTGATAATCATGTTAGCTCTCTAGAACAACAGATAGCACTGAATAAGTTGCGTTCACTTGGGCATGTGCTATGTATGCTTGGTCACCGCTTACCTAGGAGGGCCTTGTTTAGTCTACCAGATGTAGGATGGCGCAAAGCTCGAGTTGGACAGAAGTTGACTTGGTAGTGGGAAATGAGGTTACTGACGACCAAACTAGGTGCCGTTGGTCCTTCTCGCCTTCGGAGCTGGAGTCCACGTGACTCGCCTTGTGCTTGGCTCGAGATTTTACAGGACATGGCTCGCAACCGACACCAGTGGCGCGTCTGCTGCCGTCACCTAATCGGATTGCCTGTTTAAAGTTTGTTTGGTGCTGAGTTATCTGCGGGGTAATGGCCGATTATGACGCGTGGCAGTGAAAGCCGCAAGAAAGCTTTCTCGCTGATGCCGTCTTATCTTTACACGATAGCTAGCTGTTTGTGATGGTATGTTGTCTACACAAGGTGTAGGCGCCTTTACCCTGAATGTTTGCTTAGGTCATTATGGTTTTCAGGTAATTTCCCCTTCTCTCCCGCTTATTATTCTTTATTCCTTAGGTCATTATGGTTGTATGGCAGCGAAGCATCAGTACAAATGACTGGTGTGATGCTGTTGCTGATGATGTTTAGTCTACATCACTATGATGATAATACACAGTAGGATAGATTGCAGACAGCTGAATCCTACGGTTCTATAGCTACCTTCGATGACATTCGTTTGTAGGTGGCGGGCAATTTATACTACCATTATCTATAATAATCGTTGTGATCAATCCAGGGACTTCTTATTAGGTAGACGGCGCTCATCATCTTACCCAAGCCCTCCGATGCTTTTCTCTATTCTCTTTTATCACATAATCCTTTCGCTCTCAGATCGACTTTAACTAAACAGTAAACAACCTACGGTGTAGATGGTCGTACTTAGGTTGTGTTCCAACTTGACTGGAGAACCCAAGATAGCGCGATAGTTTAAGTTATCAGATGTCACCTTCCTGAATCTGCATCCGCTTAGCGGTGTTCGTGTAGCTTGTGTGCAAGTGTTCTTAACCTGGGGTCAGAGACGACCAGTTTCGGAATATTCGATCTGCAGCGGCCTAGTTTCTGACTTGCACGGTTTGATTAATCATATCATAAGGTTGCACACAGTGACTAGCTGACAGACTGTTTCGTCGTTTCCGTATTCCACGGATGTATGAGAAACAACTCTAACCTCGCTACTGCGCGCTCATCTCTTCGATGAGATGGATACCAGGTATGATACTGTTGTCTTGATTTGTGAACCGATTACTTACGTTGAACAGTCAAGCGTGTCGTGAACTGGTAGCTTGTTCCCATGGTTCTGCGACAATGTTTTGTGTTTTATAACTGCTTGCTACTTGACAAGGTGTGGGTTTTTGTCGGTCAGACCTGAGGCACTTGCACGGGAAACAGACCCAACCGTTAGATAGCCACATATCTTCTTCCCTCTAACTTGGTTTGTTGTAAAGTTTTATATTTACAAGTCTGCCAGGACCTAATCACTCTTGCTGATGTGGTTTATATGCTTGACGAGTGAGTGACGAATAGAACAACGTTATTGCACTTCACTTGAAATGATGGGCTTTATTTCTGTCAGACCATTTTACAGTCCCAGAATTCGCAGGTTTTAAGATGCCGTTTAAGTTCTCTAACATGCCTTGCAGACATAAATATTGCTATAAAATTTAGCGGTCAACTGAATCGAAGGGGCTACAACATGATAAAGACAAACATAGCAGGCCATATATGTACATGAGGATTTCCCAGGACCCCGCCTTTTGTATGGAGTCCATCGAAGAGGTTAACCTGACTTCCGACTACCCTCAAAGATCAGTTGGCTTCCGGAATATTTTGCCTAATATTGTGTATTATCATCTGTCGGTTCGATCATATCCAACGCTTCTTTGGAAATGAGGATGACAGTCTAAAAGGCTTATTCATAACGAACTCTTGAGCGAAATGCTTAGGCCAACTCTCAGTGAGTTGCCGCCATCCTTTAACAGTGACGAACAGCGGCCATCAAATCCAGCTACCTTGCTTCGGTTTAGCGTCACCATATTTTACGCTCCTTTCTTCTTCTTACTTAATGATGGGAGTTGAATGAGCCATACGACTCGTCAAATGATGTTGATAGTCGTTTGAATTACATCTTAACCTGCCGGTTTTTAGCGTTGATTGGCTCGCTTGCCAATCGGCGTATCTTTCTCAGCTGTTATAGCCCACGTATTCCTTCTGGAATTTACACCGACGTGGCAAAGTGACTCTACTGTTTGATATCCAACCTTCGGACTGTAGGTTCGAGTCAATACTGTTTCATGGGTTTGGGCAACCTTGCAGTATCCAAACTCGTGTTTAACTTCTAACAGTTCCACGACTGCGCAATATCAGCACAACTTACAGTTGTACCTTTTCCACTCACTCTTATAACTGATGCTGCACTGCTTTTCGTACGTTTGCATCGAATAGCATGCATTTACTGCAAATACGTTTTATACAAAAATGCATGTCTCTTTGGTTTCTTGTACACCGGCGGCCTTCTCATACGAGTTGCTGGGTTAGATCCATC